CTTCTGAATTAAAATTTCATTTGAGAAAATTCAGTTTTGTTTACACTAATACATCATTGTTTGATTTCACTTAAATATAAAAATATTAGATAAATCTACTCATAGTGTTGATTATTAATATGACTGATTTGACTTTATCGAATGAAGAAAAAAATCATTTTTGTTTATATGAATCCACCACCTACTTTGTTGTTTTCAATAAATATAAAAATCTATTAAATAAATATACTCAAAGAGCAGTATTTTGCTATAATTTATTACTCCATCCGTTTCGTTTTAGTTGTCGTTTTTGTTTTTTCACACAAATTAAAAAAAGCATTAAATTTTCTGTTTTACCCTTTATTAATATATTTTATAAAAATATTCATTGGCCAAAACATTAAAACAGTAGGGATAAAACTAGAATTTTCACCAAACATTTGCATTGAAAACCTAAAACGACAACTATTATAAACAAAATTTAAATCCTAAAACGACAACTAAACTGAAACGGAGGGAGTATCATTTATTAACTACTAGATTATTTTGTTGTTTTATCTAACAAATTTTAATTCAATATAGATTATTTTGTTGTTTTATGATATATATATTTTAGTGTATTAGATCTGGATCCACACGTACGTGCAGAGATATTTTTATAGAAATTGTTATATAGATTTTCAAAATATAAATATTTTGTTGTGTTAGTGACCTTCGTAAAAGTATAGATAATAGAAAGTTCGAGTAATGAACGAAATTCAGTTGCGTTAGTGCATAGTTATATTTTAAGATCTGGAGCTACACGTACGTATGAAATTATATTTAAGATAAAATTAAGTTATAATTTAGTTACAAAAGTTAAGTGATGTTACGTTTTTATTTTCTAAACTAATTAAAACATTTTTAACAGTTTGATTACATGTGTTAAATAGGATATGGATTCAGTTTTAATTTGATTTATTTCATTTATATTAGCTAGGTGTAACTATTTTGGAACAGAAAACCTATCTCGTATACGTGAAATAAAAATATTACGGTCTCATATCCGTCATAAATAGAATATGTGTAACTGAAAACGTACGTACACTAGATGTTAATTCGCGGTACACCGCGGGCCTCAATATTATTTGAAATTTTTTTAATTATTAATTTAAATATTTTCTTTGACATATACGAATTTTTTTTATTAATTAAAATGTATATATTGATATTGAGAGTTGTATATATCTATAAATGGTAGAATTAGTCAATTTCAATTTCATTTTAGTAAAAATAGATTTTAAAAAATTTCCAATACATCACTCACTTGTACTCAAATTATGCCATTTCCAATTTTATAAAATTACACACATACGATATTGTGTTTCATTTCATTTGAATATATTGATTTTAAAAAAAATAAAATTTATAGTATTTATGAATTTATATTTAGTGCAAAGGAAATATAAGTTATAAATGTGTGTATATTTAGAAGATAAAGTGTTTTGGATTTATTTTATGACATTAGTAATAGTTAGAAAGATTTTTAGTTTAATGAAGTTTGTATAAAGTTATTAAAAGTAATATTTTCTATTTGATAGGAAAAAAAAAGGGAAAAAATTGGTACCGTTAACGGATTAGAGTCTCTCGGTGCCATAACGGAAAAAACAATTCCGACTGTCAAAGAACTTCAATTCACCATCCTCTGCCATCTTGTAAACTTTGAATAAATCTTGGCAGTATGGATAGATGTCGATTATTATTTGGGATTGCAAATAAGGTCTCTCAAATTCCGATTGGATTTTAGAAGATCAAAGCCTCCGGCGAGAACAATCTCCATGTTGCAACTGAACAGAATATGGATAATTTAGTGGATGCATGTAAGTGACTGCTATCAACCGAGTGCGTAATCAAGCAATGGAGTACATGAGACAACTCAATCGATTGTTCAATTCATAATCTGAGCAATCTAAAGGTTAGTGCTTTTCTGAAATCGATGATTGAGACAACAACTTTTTCCTTAAGGTCTGTTTAAAATGTATTTATTGATGGTGAATAATAGGTAGAATTGAAAGTAGTTTATAGAAAGGAATCAAACTAATTCACAATTAATATGCAACTGAATTACCTCAATATCAGATAACACCAACTCTAGAGTTTCACCAGTGTTGGCTGTGTACTGCCGCCAGGAGTGAAGTACCTTCACTTGGACTCTCCAATGTGTGGTGTATGGCCTGACATCTTTGAGGTAAGCAAATGTTGCCGCAGCCATTGTTTGCTCGATTATGTTTAGAGAAAATGTTTAGATTAGAGGTTGTGAGTGCTGATGATAATGAGAAGTTAGATATGGAACTATATATAGGGTCATAGATTAGGTTAAAGAAAACTTGATTACAAAGCATATTGGTATCACAATCTCTTCCAAATCGGCATAAAATCTCTGCATTGTTATAATTATGGAATCTAGATTAATGGTTAGCAATTAATCGGTTGTGGTTATCATAAATCTGTTGAAAGGAGAGGATCCCTTAAAGATTCTCTGAAATGATAAGAACAGAGGATAGGCGGGAAAATAAATTCAATTAGTAGAGGGAAACACATATTTGGAAGTCCTTTAAATTGATAGAAGCAGAAAATTGTATTGTTAAAGATTGCATTGACGAAAATGGAGGAACAATAGACATGATAAGGTATGTGAGAAGTTATTTGTTTTGATTGTGTAAATAAAAGTAGAATCAATTAGGTATTATTAGCATCCGGAGATATTTGAATATGGAAATAGTTTAGGAATATGTTAAGTGCGAATTGGTAGCTTAATTATGGAATTCTAGAAGTAATTAGAGTCAATATTTCAATATGGTTTAAAGACAACATTCTTAAAATTTCTTATCCAAGATCCGGATAGATTTAAATCCGGATAAAACACGGATCCAAATGAATTAATGCAAAAAAAAAAACCCTATAAAAATGTATATGTAGATGATTATGTGTGTAAACAAATTTATTTTATATAGTGGTCATAACAGAACTCATACCAGTTGGGTATTTAGTTTGATTTTTAATTTATGTTTCCCTTCCATCCCGTCTCGTAATTCCTATTCTCATTTCATTCCCTTAAAATCATGTTCCAAATTCTTGTTTCTTTATATGTATGATTAATATGTATGATGTTAAAGTTACAAATATATTTTAACAAATTTATTAGTGTTTCTTTTATTAGCCAAATTTTGAATATTCTTCTTTTCATTCTTTTATCATAAATTAATTCAATTTTTGGACTAAAAATAAAAATTTGAGATACATCTATAAAAAGGATCTCATGCATAATTTGTTTTGAAATGCAAAATCTATAATTAGTTTACATTATTTCGAAAATTGTGTGCAATATATTATGGATTTATTTAAGGAAGATCCGGTTAAAAAGAGAAAATAAAACATAAAATTTTCGAAATTAATATGTACAATCTATTGTTTTAGATATTTTTGAAAGTTTCTGTAAACGAAGACCATAATGATAATTACTTTAAATTTATTATTATTTGAGTTTATTTTATAGTAAATATAAATATTTGTTAATATCTAAAATCGAAATTGTGAAATAAATTTCGCTTTATATTTCAAAATTTGTGAAAATACTATAACAAAACTGAATCTTAAGATATTTGTATTTAATGTTTTTAAGAAATTCCAAATTCAATCTTAAAATCTTCCATTGATAAAACTTTTTAGACGATATTGTTTTTAATTTTGAATTAAAATGATATTATTTTTATTTTTGATATAAAATAGTCTATTAGGATTGGTTTAGATAAAATCTTAGTTGGATATCAAATCTTAGTTTTTCAATTCTCATTGGTTAACAATTTTTTAGAAATTAATTTCAAATTTTCGTTCATAACTAATAAGAGAGAAAAAGTGAGTTTAATTTTTTGGAAACTTATACTCCCTCCATTTCGTTTTACTTGTCGTTTTAGGACTTAAATTTTGTTTCGTAATAGTTGTCGTTTTAAGTTTTCAATGCAAATGTTTGGTAAAAATTCCAGTATTATCCCAATTGTTTTAATGTTTTGGCCAATGAAAAAATTTATAAGATATATTAATAAAGGGTAAAACAGAAAATTTAATGCTTTTCTTAATTTGTATGAGAAAATCTTAAACGACAACTAAAACGAAACGGAGGGAGTAATTACTTAAAAGAATTTTACTTTTTTTTTGTCATCAGAATTTTACTATTTTGATTTAAATATATTAATTTTGTGATTACTATTATACTTTTAATGAATTTATTTAAAAACACTTACAACTAATGACATCTTTTATAATATTTTACACTTCATAAAGTTATTTAATAGTTAGAGATTCCCAATTATTAGTATAGATATCAAAAATGTTGTCGGAAAAATTAGGTTTGTTTAAACTAATATTACAAGTACTTCTTTCATTTCAATAAACGGGTAGTATTAATTGATATAATATATAATCAGTGATTGGACTATACAGAATAATTCTGCTTTCAAATAAGATTCAGTTTTGTTTCAACTAATCCATCACGTTCTTCGTTTTATTATAGTACATATAAAAATATAAAATAAGTCGAATCAAATCGAATAAAATCAAATATATTCTTAGAGCATGAGTCAGCATGTATGATCAGCTAGGGTTAATCTGCAATCAACAATCAACAATGGTTAATCTGCAATCAACAAATCGGCTCATCTTTTGTAGGATTTGGTCCGACATTTTCTGCGGCTGCTGCTTGACTCAGTTGCCGTGACCGACGAACCAGAATTCTTCTCTTCCCCCCATGAGTTTTAGCCATCATCAGTCGGAATTTCAACAGAGGGAAGCGAGAGAGAGAGAGATTGAGATTCTAGGGTTAGAAAATGAAATCGATGTGTCTAAAATGGCGAGTCAAACAAACTTCGCTAATTAATTGTAAAGTCAACAAAAATTTTATGATTTAAATGTCTTCATCGTAGTCCAAGATTAAATCGTCCCAAATTTGAAAGTTCATGATTTTTTTGACATTTTTCCCTACATTAATTATGAAAAGTTCATCACTTTTATTTATAATTTAAACTTAAATTATGCAAAACCAAACCATAGATATGTCTAGAAGTGAAATGACTAAATATACAAATTTTATTTGTAAATGTTCATAGAGTCTTGATTAAGTCATCCAGTGAATCGTGTGAAGAACCTTCAGGTAGTACAGAGCATTTGAGTTTCTCTTTCAAACTGAGAGCTCTCATCTTCATCTCCTCTCCTTCTTCATCCACCATTAACCTTTTCGCAGCTCTCTCGACTACTCCTTTCTTTAGTTCACCCTCCACTTGAACCCCAACTCTCCAGACACACTCCACGTACCTCGCATTTACCTTTTGGTCAGTAGTAAAAGGCCTACAAATCATCGGAACTCCTTCACCCATGCTCTCTAGAGTCGAGTTCCATCCACAATGACTCCAAAATGCTCCAACCGCAGAATGTGCAAGAACTTGCTTTTGTGGAGCCCATTTCACAATGTAGCCTCGATCAGATATTTCCATCTTACTAAATAACTCCTCATTAGAAAATTCAGAACCAAGGATGGACCCGGGTCTAATCACCCACAAGAAGTGTTGGTTACTACTAACCAACCCCGAAGCCATTTCCAACACTTCTTTAGTTTCCATCAAAGTAAAGCTTCCCAAACTTATGTAAATCACCGAGCTCGGCTTTTGTTTGTTCAGCCAATCTATGCAGCTCTCATCCTCTTCTATTAGACTTGTAGGAGGAGCTGAAGCCATCATATGAAGAGGGCCTATAGGATATATCGGAATTTTAAGTTCTTGTTGAAGCCAGTCCAAGGATGAAATCTCTAGACAACTCACTGTGTTGATTATCATAGAGGAAGCTGTGCCTATATCACATGAACTTTTAAACACTTCCACTGAGGCTTCTACTGGTGCAAATGCTGAAGTCGGTAGGTCTTTGTATCTAAGGGGATGCAACTCTGGCACTAGCTCCTCTTCTCGCCCACATCCTTCTGTGAAAATTAAAAGCAAAATTGTGGGTGATTCCATTTTAGTTTTTTAAGAAACGAATGTATTTCTTTAACAAAAAAAAAAGAATGTATTTTTCTCTTTTTTAAATAAAAATAAATATTGTTAAAACTAAAAAAATTTTGTAATAAAATTTCACATCTCACAAAACAAAAATTTCAGTTTACTAGAACAGATTCCCAAATTGTAAACGCAAATGGCAAAAAGCAAACAACTATTTTCCCTTCGTACAAATACCATATTTTAACATGTAATTTGCAAAACTAAATCAATTTCAACGTATAGACAGAGATACCTTTGAGGGGAGCCAAGCCATCTTTTGCATAGAGTTTGCACATGGCATAGCGACAAGCAAAAGCCGTTGCATTTTCGGTACTGAAAATAATTTTGGGAAGGTTAAACTCTTTGGCTGCAGCTTCAGCAAAGTACATGAACTCGTCGTAGATGACACATGCGATCTCTTCTTGTTGTTGCGCCAAAAATTGACCCAAACACTTCTTGAAGCTAACCTCACACTCTTTGTTGAGTTTAATGAGAAACCAAACTGGCCCTAGATCCTTCAGATCCGAGGCTGGTAAGCTCTCTGGGATGGTGATGAACTGAAAATCAGCTAAGTCTTTTGAAGGCTTCAAGTAATTGAACTTGGTCTGAGCAACTGTAATGGAGAAACCCTTTAAGTGAAGGGCTCTCGCGAGTTGCATCATTGGAGATATGTGTCCTTGTGCTGGAGCTGGAATCAACACTATCCTTCTCCTCCTCTCTTGCTTTTCCTCCATTTCCAAATTTCTCTTTCCTCTGTTTTTTTTTTTTTTTTTCCGGTTGCTTTCTTTCCAGCTACAAGAAAATGACACAAATATAATATAACTTATTTCCTTATTTTCTTTTTAAAAGAAAGAAAAAATCAAGAAATATGAAATGTTTTTTAAGAAAAGAATGATAGAGTAATTGCATTATCTAACAATAGAAAATTGGAAAATTAAGTGACTAACAAAAATTCATTAAAAACAAAACGTAGTTTTCCCTTATTCAGGACAAAAAAATACTATTATCAAACGTATATTTCCCTTACCAAACCAAGTATCTGTAAATTGTTACAATGAAATGTAAGACATGCAAATGGTAGTTTATCGATATATTCTACTAAATATCGTCCAATATACAATAGGCCAAAAAGTTTAGTAAAATTATTAAAATAGGCCAAATCTTTTTAGATTAAATAATTCTTGTTCTGCATGAAATGTCAAAAAAAAAATTCTTGTGGATCTACGAAAAATATACATATTTGTTTGTTTAATTATAGGAATAATCTGCGTCATCCATCTTATGCTATGGATAGTTTTGTCCAAGTTCTCCAAATATGGGAGTATGTGATTGTTTCGATGATTACCAAGAAAGTTAACGCTCATGACGAAAATGCAATAGATGGTTCATCTATAATGTTTCAAGACATCTACATGATCTCTATTATCACCATTAGTAGCAAATAACTCACCAGCGATCAGAACTTTATGATTCTAACCACTCGTAGCAAAAATAACTCACTGGCAAGCGAAACTTTAATTACTATTCTGTTCACCTTTAGTTTTCATTGAAACAGAAAGTCGTACCGAGTTATATTTGAAAATTTCAATAAACTCTTTTGGTGAGGTTGGTTAAGGAACTTTGCCTATATAATAATAGATCCATCAATTCAACACCAGTTTTAGTAGTTTGAGGAATTAGATCATGGACAATAGGTGAATTGGCCTAATTCTTCTGAGGCTTTAAGAACAATTAAAGACAGGAAACTAGTAGAAATCAAGGTGACTACGATAGGTAAAAGAAGACTCTTGGGTCATATCTGAAATACGTGCAAAATTCGTGCAAAACTACAGACAGAATAGATAACAGATCATCTGTGCAAAGTTCGTGCAGAAATACAGACAGGATTGATAACAGATAATCCGTGCAAAATTCGTGCAGAAACAAATATGAACAGAAAACTTATCTCGATAGAGTTTAGAATTTTGTTTGCAGAGACGGCTAGGGTTTTGGTTTTGGTTTTTGTGAGAGAGATTTAGGGTTTCGGAATTTTTAATTTTTAGGGTGAAAGGCTATCGTGCTGATAACGTGTTGTGAACTGTGTCTTTCATTAATAGTATAATGGATATATATACAAGGATAATAGCAGGATACAGAGAATAAGGTAAAACCCTAATGGGCCATGGGCCGGTTATGGAGTCCATCCATATGGTTTATAACAAAAAGTGTAAAACGTATTATAAAACGACTTATATTATAAAACGTATGGAGTATTGAAGTAACCAGAGAAAATGACAGTGTCTTGTGGGAGACAAAGATTTCGGTATTGATGTTAAAAAACTTCCGCTCTCCATTGTCATCAACAAGACAACAATGTCCAACCTATTTTATCAGGTAATCATATGCTTTATCCGTTTCAGTTTAAGTGTCATTTTAAAAATTATGATTTGTTTTATAATAAGTGATGCTTTCGATATTCAAAACAGATTTATGATACGTTGATAACCCAGTTTTATCTTCACTATTGTAAGGTATTGACCAATTTATTGTTTTTTTTTTTTTTTTTCAAAGTGTATTACTAAGAGATAAAACAGAAATGGGTGATTTGCAAAAGTAGCCAATTTTGAACCAGTTATTAAATTTATAACACCAAAATCTTGGATATTACGTGAGTAGCACATGTGGTGTCTGACAAGACAATAAAGTCCTTTCAGTCTCACGAAGAAAATGAAGGCGTGAAGAGAGAGAGAAAAGAGGTGCGTGAAGAGAGAGAGAGAGGGAAGAAGAGAGGGGGAGAGAGAGAAAGAAGAGAGGGGGAGAGAGAAAGAAGAGAGGGACGTGGAGAGAGAGAGAGAAGGAGAGAAGAACAGAGGGAGAGAGATAAGAGAGAGACGTGGAGAGAGAGAAGGGAGAGAGAGATTGAGAGGGACTAAATCTGTCTTTATTACATAAATTATAAAGAATATCACCTTCTTTTTTTTTTAGTGCTACTTTCTTAATTTATAAATTTTTGTTGGTTATAGAGTCAAATTATCCAACAGAAATTGATCGTGGAAGCTCCCTTGGCCCATTGGTTGACCAAGGGTTGATTAATGCTTCTACACCAAAAGGTCTGGGGTTCGAGTCCCAGGTATTGCGATTTATTAACAAATTTGCAGATTAATGGAGACAAGTGTGCAAAAGATCTCCAGCGATGTACAATTATAGCCGTTCGCCAGGATTCTACGCAGAGAAGGAAGTGTCGCCAGGTCGTGGATCATTGAAGGTATTCATTAAGATTACGAAGAAGGAAGTGTAGTCTGTCGTGAATCTAGTAAGGGTCAGAAGGAATTGTCAGTTGTAGAATCTAGTAAGGGTGGATAATTGATTTTTTCTAAATTTAAAAAAAAAAAGTTTAACCACACTTAAATTAAAACGGAGAGAATACTTATCTCAGAAAAAACAAATCTAGTTCAATTCGTTAATTTGCATTCTTGGTTTTTGTCTTAGGTCATGGTTGGTCTTTTGCTAATGAGTTGTCTAGTTTAAATTATTTTTAGTTTTGTAAGAAAATATGTCCGAACTAAAATCAAACGTAATATTAACCTCTTATGACTACTTCCTATATCTCTCTATTTATATTCAAATAAATATAATCAGATAAATCAATCGAGACTACGCTGATGACACCTAGTTAATATATTTGTAAAATTTTGAATAAAAATTATGTATATATATATATATAGATATATATATATCTATTTATATAGACATGGTTAACATTTAACGTTAAACGATTCTGTGATATTTTAAATGAGGTATTTTCTTCCAACCAAAAAGTTGGGGTATTAAAATTCCAAAATAAATAGATTGGATATTTTTGGCTATTTTCCGGTTATAATTTAACGTCATTTACCGATACCATAACTTCCGTTAACGACAGTTAAATAAGAGGTTTGAATCTACCAATATTTAAAGATAAAGTATTTTTCAACCGAAAATAATTAAATGAAGCATTTTTCTTCCAACATACAAAAAAGTAAAGTATTAAACGTGCAAATAAAAAATAAATGGGGTATTTTTCGGGTTGTTTCCCCATATACAATCAAAGATCATGAGATCCCTAAAGAAAATAGGAGATAGAATCTTATATGGATAGTCTAAGCTACTAGGGACAAAAATTCTGGAACAATGCCTCTAATACCACTTTCTCTCAAAAATTAATAGTATATGCCACTCTCATATTATTATTTTATTTTACATGTTCTTTTAAATAAAAATCTATTACAAAAGTAAAAAAAACCCTTACTCTAAACTAAATTTGAGAAGAATTATAAATAATGGATAAATAATTAAACTATTGTCCATCTATGCTTCTCATCGATCATTGATCTTGTCTTTGTCTCTATCAACATAGCTTATGCTGAGATTCATAAATGAGAGATACAACAACAATCCCGATCTAGATCTCTCAAAAATTGGTTTCTTCTTCTGCAGTACTAAAGACACTTTCGTCATTTGTAATGCACAATTGTCGGGTGAGAGAAGACGGTCCACAAACTTCGACGAAAGGGTTGACGGCGGAGAATCGGCGACGACGATAGTGAACAAAGCAAGAAGAGACGAAATAGTGTGATGACGCTAGGGTTTATAATTACAAGTTTCTTCAGTACTATCATTTGTACCAGTTGTTCCTATGTACTATATATTATCTCTCAATAATATAATTTGTACAAGTTGTACCTATTTATATCTTATTATTATCTCTGAGTTATATCATTTGTATTGTTTGTCGTATAATATCTCATTTGTACCAATTGTATTATTATCTCTTAGTTGTAGCATTTCGTCTGTAATTTTATTAATTTAGAGATATCAAATTTACAGTGACACTTAAATTATAAAATGGCAAACCAGATTAAATTTTTCCCACAAAGTAGCATAAGTTGCTCGTCTTCAAAGAATCTTCAATGGTAACGTGAAATTCATTCATTCCTTCTAGATTTTTATATATTTGTTCTTGACGTTTGACAGTACTATTAGTCAAAAAAACAATGATTTAAGTTTTCAGACAAGATCAGCTCAAATGGATATATAGGACAGTATTTTGTGAATATACGTCTAAACCATGTTCCTAAGAGCTAAAGAATGGCAAACTGCTCAAATCGAGAAATCCCCCTCCCTTCCACTGCCGATCCGAACCAAAACTTCATCTCTTTCGACCCACCATATCGTTTGCAACACTGGTGCGACATGGAAAGAAGATTTCACGCCATGATATGGGTGGGTTTTCAGCAAATCAGCTGTGACTCCGATCCTCCATGGTTCACAGGCTTGTTGTGAGAGATTTTCATCCCAGTAGAATCCTCCAACATAATCCCTTGGACTACATCAGGACAATAATCAAATAAATGAAACCCTAAATATAACGAAAACGCATAGTTTGCTAACATATCCGTTAGACGGTTAGTCTTCCTATATACGCGATTAACCAGATAAAAACAAGAAATTTAGAATATTCTCCACTATTTTACCCCGTTCTATTATATTAGTTTCCTGACATATTTTTTTCTATGATTCTGTTTAACCCTAATCTTTCATTCATTTATATTAGATACAAGTATTAAGATATCATATGCATATAACTAAGGGGAAAAATGTCGTTTAATTGCTGAACTTTAAAAAAATGGCCGTTTAATACGTGAACTTCTCATGTGGCCAGTTCAAACACGAACTTAACGTTGACCGGCCATTTTAACTAAATTTCTTCGTTGACTACGCCAAAACGCCACACCGTTAGCAGTCACTAACTGAGCCGATAACGGCTGTTAGCACCCGTAAACAGGTCTCCGTTAGTCCCGAAAAC